CCCCAAAACCCCAAAACCCCAAAACCCCATAAGTTTGAATATTCAAATTTAGGGTAGAAATTGTCAGAAAATATGTATTTCTTTGAGTTTGATGCATTATAAATAGCCTCTGAAATTATAAAATAATATATTAAAATTTTTAATTTCCAAAAGGGGTATACAAGGTCCAAAAAAATCAAGCCTTCGTAAAATAAATAGTATCTAAAGCGAGTGGATTTATCCCTTTTAAAACAGCAAAACTAGGAAACTATCAGATGTAACAAACATATTATAAATTCATAAAAGCTGCTTTGAGAGCATTAAGCATATCTAACAACGATCATATTTAAAGCAATACCTTTTAAGGATTTCGTAGATTCGGAACACTAATCATGATGAAATTCTCAGTACATACTCATAAGAAAATAATAAATAAAGGTTAGGAACTGGATCTACTATCAAAGGGTAAGTTGCAGGTACTACATAAGCATCAACTACATCTCTTTAAAAGGTTAAATATGATTGAGAGCCTTATTTCATATATTTGCGATTTTGACGATAGACAGTCTGATATTGAAGCAAAATCTAACTCTCACCATCAGAAAAATCCCGATTGTCCCTTAATCTTGACCCCTCTGGTACTGTGCAGAGACCTAGCACAGAATTAATTTGAATCGTGAGTAGCCCTTAATAGTTGCTAAACATAGTCCCCTTTAGATATGGATCTTTGATAAATCAAACTAGAATTATGAGTATTTTCAAGCCAAACTCAGGATACATGTTCATCAGCTATAGCTATGTCATTTAGCTCTTTTAGTCATTGGATCTAGTATATGAAAAGCTCATTTAAATGCTCTATTGACATCTGATTCGGAATTTGACAAAAATAAAATTCAACTGTAAAAGCTGTCATTTAAAAATAAAGAAAAAGATCTTTAACAGCATGTTTTAAAAGTGCTTGAATGTCAATTATACATACAAATCTTCATTCTCATTCCTCTAAATAAGTTAAAAAATCGTAAATACGATTTGGGGAAATTAAGCTAAATAAGAAATGGGGGTAAATAATATTTGCTAGCATTGGAAAAAGATCACCAATAACAAAGCTTAACTTTAATTGCGTATTGGAAAACAAATATCCTAAACTTTCAGTCAGCAAAATTAATCAAGCAGCAAAACTAAATAACAATCTCTTCTATCTGCACCTACCCCCAGGAAAACTGATAGATATTCTAGATTAATTGAATAAATCAATTGCTTTAAATCTTCTCGGTAGCTATGAGAATATTAAGAAAATGCATAAATAAAACAATAAGAATTATCCTAGCAATAACTAAAATTAACAAATATTTAAGGAAACAGCTCAAGCTATTAAGAGAGTTACGAAAATCTACCTGACTATCACAGCAGGCTCAAGGTTAAATGTCAAAAACTCTAACGCAAATAAGTTTAATAATCTTGTATAAATTGAATATTTAAAAAATATATTTTTTTAAACTAAAACTCCTATCAATCTCTAATTATCTCATTACATGGGGTTTTGGGGTTTTGGGGTTTTGGGG